GGCCTTTTAACTGAATCCAAATTTTACAAAACAAATGTTTTTAACAAAGGGATTTGTTCTGTGAAGTTTGGATTTGGTAGATGAGCCACACTTGGGGATCTGGAGGGCCACATATGCAGTGTTGAGCCACAAAGGATAAGTGAAATTGGCAAGGGACAGTTCTATCTGAGTTTTAGAGAAAAGTATCAGAGAAATTGCCCAGGTTTAGAGCAGACTTGTTTGATTTGTGGACTTGTCTCAAATTTATTCACTTTTTCCTTCCACACACAATTATAAGGATTTGACATACACAAGTTTCTCATTAATAACCATAGGTTACTTTTTGCTTACATCAGGCCCTGTTTTTAGACATAATCTGCTAATCTTACTTAATCCTCACAAAATACGCATGCTATACTCTCCGAAACAGGGATAAGGAAACAGGAAGGTGAGATGACTTACACGTAAGGAAACAGCCCAGCTGATGGTTTAGGGTTCAAAGTAAAGACACCTTGGGTCTTAATGACTGTAAGGCTTTGGGCAAAATACTTCAGCTATGTAGCCTACATTTTCCCAGCTTTCAAACTGGCATAACAGCAGACACCTCTTCGGTCCCGTCCGGCATGATTAAATGAACGAAGCAGAGCAAGCACCCAGCACCGGGCACAGGTAGGCAGTGATAAACTGTGTCGTCATTGTTCTCCGGCTCCTCGGCGGAGGCCTGGCCGCTCCGCCCCCGGCCGCCAGGGGACGCTGTGACGTGGGTCGGGCTGGCGCGCGGCCGCTCTAGCCCCGTCCGGGGAAGTCACTGTCCTTACCTTCAGCAGGAACCCGCGCCTCGGTTCCTGCGCCCGCTTGCCCTCCGCTCCGTCCCACGGCCACCCATTGCCCTCTTGCCGCCCACCATGGCCCTGCTGCACTCCGGCCGCGTCCTCTCCGGGATCGCCAACACCTTTCACCCAGGCCTCGCTGCCGCAGCCTCTGCCCGAGCCAGGTAAGCCAAGGGAGACGGAGATGGAGCCAGGACTACGGGCCCTGCCCAGCCGCGCTGCGGGCGCCCCAGTACATCTGCCTCTCCCCACCCCCCTACACACACACACACACACACACACACACAGACGCAAATACACGCGCTAACCTCCCCCCCACACGCCTTCTCTGTAACCCACTCGGCTTCCCTTTACTGGGGGCTGAAGATTGGGCGTCCGCGCCTCACAGTGACCCTCAGGGTACCACATCCCTCTCTCCCCCAATAAAGCACAGCAGGAGGGCGTGACAGCGCAGTCTCCTGGGGAAGGAAGTGTGGCCCTCTGCGGTTCCCGGACTGCCATTCTGGGTTGGAGGCAAGGGGAGAGCACGCGGGCGGCGGCGCCGGCCAGCCTCGCGCCAATTGGCTGGGGCGCCGGGGGTGCGCGTGCCCTTGACGGGCTGCCCTGGGGGGCGGCGGGAGCACCTGTCGCTGCCTCCCTCCCGCCGGCGCGGGTGGCCTAGGCGGCGGCTGGCTGCCGCACGTGTGCGGGCAGCGGGGAGAAGCGCGCGGAAGGAAGGCTCCCGGGGCCCCGGCGTCCTGGCTCGGCTTTCCTCTTTGCATTCCGTGACCTTGGTGTGCGGCATTCTCGCGTCTACGATACCGCCTACGTCCCCGTGACCGCTAGGCCTTTAGATGGAAAAGGGTCTAGGTGCACTGCGCCTCCTCTTTTTTTTTTTTTTTTTTAACGCCCTTAGGAGGTCCAGTAGAAGGGAAGTAGTCTTCCTCTCCATCTCGCTCTGCTCTTTCATTCAGTAAATATTTCGTAACCCCAGTTTCTCAGCGCCAGCACTGGACCAGATGCTGGCGATACGGCGGTTAACAAGACTGAGAGAACAATGACGAATTGTCATTGCTCAAAAAGTGACAAATACATAATTTCGTACTGTGGTATGTAGTGTGGAGGGAAAGTTCAGAGCATGAAACGGGCTCTAGTAATTCCTTCCTAGTAAAGATCAGCGCCAGGCGATTAATTCACGCTAGAAGCCGATTTGGGGCAAGCCCCTTAACTGTACTACCTAATGAGGAACCAAGTTTTAAGCCCCGCCCCCCCCGCGAGCAGCTATTAACTACAAAGAGCGAGGCATTGCTTGCCCTTTTATGCCTGCCTTAGCCTTTCGTTTGAATGTATGCACCATGTCTTTAAGCCAGCAGAACAGTCTGTCCTTTCCAAAGTCCCACAGTCTTGGCAGTATAGTTTTACCCAGGCTCTCAAGCTTTCTTCTCTTCCTGATTTGGCTCCTTGGCCCCTTGTCAAACAGTGCTTTTTAAGCCTGCCTACCTAGTCAGCCAGAATCAGGTTATTTACACAGCAAATCTGGAAAACCAAAAAGAAGCTTAAGATTATAGGCGAGAGAAAGTATGTTTCACCACTGTAGTAATGATAACATAATACGTTGTTTTATGGATTTGGCTGGGTGGCCTGAAGCTCTAGTTACAGTACTTGGGGAAAATTCCTTGGGGTTAGGGTTAGTCATTATTTCAGTTTGAGAGCCTGACTCATTTTTCTTTTCTGTCTTTTCCTCATTAGAATGTAAATTCCATGAGCGCAGAGACTTTATTCACTGTTATATCTCAGCACTTAAAACAGTGCCTGGCATGTCTTTCAGATTGAATATTTTTATTTTAAACCCTGATTTTTAACTTAATGTAACAGAAACAAGTACAGTATGGCATTTTAATGTTGTATCTTAGATCATAATCTAAACTTAGGCCAGTCCGGGTGCAGTGATATTTAGACCTAATTGATCACAACCAGTTACAGATTTCTTTGTTCTTTCTTCACTCCCACTGCTTCACTTGAATAGCCTTTAAAAAGAAAAAAATCTAAACATACAGGGGAACTACAGTGCTGCAAAATATGTGCCCAAAAAATTAAGTCTTAAAACATTTGAGCACCTGATGTTGAGGAATTGCTCCACAGACTTAAACAATGATACATGATTGGGTGGTGGAACCAGATGCCGTATCTGGCCATGAGTGTTAACGGTTCAGACAAGGAAGTCAGAACCTTCACTTTTTCCAATATAGAAATGATCTTTACCTAGAGCCAAATGGTAAAAGTGGAAAACATTTAAAATAAACTCAACCCATTGAAGTTTCTTTTTAAACAGCTCATTCTAATACAGTAAAACCTTGGCAATTGGTATTCTGAAGAACTGAGGATCCAAGTATTTAAATACTTAGATTGTTTAAATAGAACTCTTTCTAAATTCCAGTTTATCATTTAGCTGCATTTTTTAAACACTGGACATAAAACTTGTTGACCTGTGCTATAAAAGCATAGTGACTTAAGATCAGGCATAGTCACAGGTCAATGAAAGAAAAAAATATGTTAACATATTTTGATTTATAATAATTTGTTTCTGATTATTTAAATTTTAGTGAAATAATTGAAGATGTATCACAAGACCCCTTAGCAAGGCAATGCTTAACAGTGAATGGTACAATAACCATTAGTTAGAAGATCACAATTGTGGTATTGCCTCTGCCATTTCTAGCTCTATGATTGTGGACAAGATAATTAACTTCTCATTTTAAAATAAGAACGTGAGGAAAAACATTTTAAAGCACTAAGTAGGCTAAAGCCCTGGGAAAATCACAAGGCATTTCAATTAGAAAAGCTTATCTGAATACTTTGTACCTAACATTTTTTGGTTGACTAGTCAGTATTGCTCAATGTTTGAGATTTTGTGTTTATATCCAAAGTACATTGATAGGAATCACTTTGTAGGCCACAGGTTATCAGCTTCAGTTTTGTCCCTAGAGCATTCTTGTTTTCATCTACTATAATTCTTTTAAGAAGTGGAATGATGAAGGGCATAGAGGAGCTGGAACGTGATTATTAATGTAGAGCCAATCAAATTGAGTATCCTTGCTCCTATATTTAGATTGTGTAAAATTCAATATTTTTAAGTTACTTTTAGAATTCTTCTTAAGAGATATAGCAGAAGACTCAATCAAGGCTATGATTTCTGAAAGAATTTCTGTTTAATGTTTTAAAGAACTTGATAAATAGGTGCTTTTCACACTAACAAGAATGATGGCTTCTGTCCTTGTGGTTAAGAGCAGTGGGCAGTGGCTCTGTCATTATTGATAGAAGGCCCTGGATACAGACTTTTTTTTTTTTTTTTGAGACAAGAATCTCGCTATGTTGCCCAGGCAGAACTAGAACCCTGGGCTCCAGTGATCCTCCCACCTTAGCCTCCCAAGTAACTTAAGACTGTAGGCTCACATCACTGTGCCTAATCAGACCATCTTTTTGAAAATGAAAACTGCTTTCTAGAAGTATTCTCTTTTATAATCTGTCCTTGACATTCAAAGTATTCCTTTCACTCAGCAGTTAATGACAGTGACATAAATAGGCACGTGGCTACATGTTTTCAGGGTCTGAATTGTAGATAAGAAATAACGAAAGCTGGCTGGGCACCGTGGCTCACTCCTGTAATCCTAGCACTTTGGGAGGGTGAGGGGGGAAGGACACTTGAGGCCAGGAGTTTGAGACCAGACTGGGCAGTAGCAAGACTCCGTCTCTACAAAATGTTTTTAAAAATTAGCCAGGCACACTAGTGCATGCCTGTAATCCCAGCTACTTAGGAGGCTGAGCCAAGAGAATTGCTTGAGCCCAGGAGTTCAAGGTTACAGTGATAGCCCCACTGCACTCCAGCCCCGGAGAGAGAGCAAGACCCTGTCTCAAAAAAAGAAAGGAAGAAAGAATGAATGAGAGCTTTCTTCAGGCCCTATTCACAAGTTGCTTCAAGGTATCTATATCTGTGTTTCTTGTTATTGCTTAAGTACTAGGAATAACCAAGCATCTAGAGCTACAACAACAAGAGTGGGAGGGATTTTGAGTCCTGGCACTAGAGCTAGTGAGAGACAAGGGTAATAACGATAATGTCTCCTGAGACTAGAAAAAACTAAGTACAGGTAGTAATAATTGAAAAGCAGTTCAAATATGGGGCTGGTGGTGGGGGAGAAGGGAAAAAAAAGAAGAAAGAAAAGCAGAAAAGGCCAGGCATGGTGGCTCACACCTATAATCCTAGCACTCTGGGAGCCAGAAGCAGGAGGATCATTTGAGGTCAAGGGTTTGAGAACAGCCTGAGCAAGAACAAGACCCCGTCTCTACAAAAAATAGAAAGAAAAAATTATCTAGGCATGGCCGCGTGCGCCTGTAGTCCCAGCTACTCGGGAGGCTGAGGCAGAAGGATTGCTTGAGCCCAGGAAGTTGAGGTTGTAGTGAGCTATGATGATTCCACTGCACTGTAGCCGGGCAACAGAGCAAAACTCTGTCCAAAAAAAAAAAGGAAGAGCAGAAAAAAATATGCATTCAGTCATAAAGTCTTATGACTATATATGCTCCTTGAATTCTCTACATACTGACCTCCGCAGGCTCCATACTAGGATGCAGGGTGGTTACAAATAAAAGTGTAATAGTAATAATTTAGTGACAGTTAACATCAATCACTCTGCCAGGCTCTATTCCGAGTGTTTTTTAATTCTTATACCAGCCCTGTAAGATAGATACTATTATGCCCCTATTTTACAGATGAGGAAAGTTGAGACTTAGAGAAGCTAATTCACTTGCCTGTACTCACACAGCTGGTAGGCGGCTGAGCTGTTATTCCAATTCATGCAGTTTGCCCACTACTGAAATTGTCCAAGGCAAGCTATTAAGAGAACCCATTAAAAGAAGAGACTAAGAAATCCAAAAAGAGGAATAATCTGCCCTTAAATAACAGAGAACTAACTGTACACACTAATTACAACTATTGAGACTGAGGCAGTTTTTAACTTGTTAGGAGAGCATAAATCCAACTCAGTACTGCAATCCAGTGTGTTTCATAGAGGAGTGAGGTGTATGAGTGCTGACTGGCCACAAGCTCAATAAGAGAGCCTTTGTCAGGAGACAAATGTTAACGAAATAATTCAAGAGCTCATCAGCATCGTGAGCACAGAGAAATTCCACT